CCGCGAACGTGGCAGTAGCCAAGATGGCGGCGGGGCGGTGGCGTGAGTCGCGGGGGCGGAGCGCGGCGGCTTTGGCCCTATTTGGTAGCTGACGAGCGCCGTCCTCTGGGTGGCCGGTTAAGGAATGACCAAGCTTCCGTGGGCGTCCATTTTGTGCAACCTGAGCCGAGAGGAAAAGGCACAATGGCCCTGTGGCCACGTGTTCGGGACTCTCAGGTAAAAAAGATGAAATTACTGGACCAGTTCATTTCTCAGTGGGATTTGCTTTTGTTTGCATTTAGGCTTTTCACGGCATCCAGCAGCAGCATTGCTGTAACCGACAAAGACATCTTCGAATTAAGCACAGTACTCGATTCCAGCAAAGCCCCACAACATGGCCGAGATGAGCTTCCTGAGCAGCGAGGTGTTGGCGGGGGACTTGATGTCCCCCTTCGACCAGTCGGGTTTGGGGGCTGAAGAAAGCCTGGGTCTCTTAGATGACTACCTGGAGGTGGCCAAGCACTTCAAACCTCATGGGTTCTCCAGCGACAAGGCTAAGGCGGGCTCCTCCGATTGGCTGGCTGTGGATGAGTTGGTCAGTGCCTCTGACACCGGCAAGGGTGAGTGAACACTTCCTTTTATCTCCCGGTGTGAGTACAGAGAAGAGTCTCCTTGTTTGACTTGGTGACCTTATCACTCTTCATTTTTTGCAGAGGATGCCTTCTCTGGGACAGATTGGATGTTGGAGAAAATGGATCTGAAGGAGTTTGATTTTGATGCCCTGTTGAACATAGATGACCTGGAAACCATGCCAGATGAGCTTTTGGCCACGTTGGATGACACATGTGATCTCTTTGCACCGCTAGTCCAGGAGACTAATAAGGAGCCCCCCCAGGCAGTAAACCCAATTGGCCATTTTCCAGAAAGTTTAACAAAAACAGACCAGGTTGCCCCTTTCACCTTCTTGCAACCTCCTCCCCTTTCCCCTGGGGTTCTGACCTCTACTCCAGATCATTCCTTTAGCTTAGAGCTAGGCAGTGAAGTGGATATCTCTGAAGGAGATAGGAAATTTGACTGTATTGCTTATATTACCTTGATTCCTCAGTGTGTAAAGGAGGAAGATGCCCCCTCAGATAATGACAGTGGCATCTGTATGAGCCCTGAGTCCTATCCTGGTTCTCCCCAGCACAGCCCCTCTACCTCCAGGGGCTCTCCGAATAGGAGCGTGCCATCTCCAGGAGTCCCCTGTGTTTCTTCCCGTCCCAAGCCTTATGATCCCCCTGGAGAGAAGATGGTAGCAGTTAAAGTTAAGGGTGAAAAGCTGGATAAGAAACTTAAAAAGATGGAGCAAAACAAGACAGCAGCCACCAGGTACCGCCAGAAGAAGCGGGCAGAGCAAGAGGCCCTCACTGGTGAGTGTAAAGAGCTAGAAAAGAAAAATGAGGCTCTGAAAGAGAGGGCAGATTCTCTGGCCAAGGAGATTCAATATCTAAAAGATTTGATAGAAGAGGTTCGAAAAGCAAGGGGTAAGAAAAGGGTCCCTTAGGGTAGTTAGGAATTCTGTGTGCTTGTACATAGGTGTCTTGTGCGCTGAAGGCTATGTCATAATAAATTATTTTGTAGTAAAAGTACCAATGTGGGCTTGCTGATTTTTGGTGGGTGCTGGCTCCATTTCTAAACTGGAGACCCTCGGTGTGATCCAGAAGGTTTTTGGACAAAATGATCTGGGCTGGTGGTTTTTATTGGGTCCCTGGGGTATGGGCCAGGTGCAGCTGATAACTGCCTTACCCAGGACCATACTGGAGCTGTTGGTGGCGGAGGGCAGCATCCAGGGCTCTGCTGGCTACTCGGTCCTGCTGAAAGTTAACCTGCCTTTTAAATATCCAGATCCTTGAGCCATAGGATTAGGGTTTACATTTGTGTAGAAACTCCTTTGGAGCTGAGGGTTGTCTCCATTTCCCCTTCAGAGCAGTGGAGGGAAAGAATCCTTGGAGTGGAGTTACTGAGGCTCTTAACCCAGCTGAATGAAGGCTCTCGTGTCTGGGTTATCAGGACAAAGCAGGTCTTAGCTGTTGGAATAGCCTCAGTACAACCTTGGGCTTGAAGGACTGGGTGATTTGATTTTTTATTTGTAAAATACTAGGTAGACATTCTAACTTGGTGAGTGTTGAACACAAGTCAACCCAGGTAGGTCAAAGTCCCCCCACTATCCTTTTGTTGGTAGGGAGGTGTCTCCCTGCATTTGTGAACTTACAATGCCTAGTATACAATGATTCCCCAAAGTCAGTGGTTGATGGCATGAACAGCTGGCTCCTTCCCTGGAGAAAGTGGGATCATAGTTGCACCTTAGTCTTGGGGGGGTTTTTTTGCAGTCAGTAGCATTCAGTGTCCCAGACTACGGCTCTGTTTAGGTGGTCAGGTGTAAGAAAAGTAGGTTCTAGAACTATATCCTGAGTAACCTTTAGCCTCAGGAGGTTGCATGCCCAGTTCCTCTGCTGACCTCTTACATAGCTGTGTCCTACCTCGACCCAGAGGCCCAGGTTTGGGAGTGCTACAGGCGCTGGTTGGAGGTTACAGAGGGCCTCGTTCGATGTGATGATGGCCCTTGCTAACCTGAGCCAGAGGGTGTTCTCAGGGTGGCTCAAGTGTCCTGGCTGCACCCCATCCCTCGGGCCTGATGAGGCTGGGGCTGTCAACTCAGCATTCCTCACCTGTTTTCTGGGGAAACCCTAGACAGCGAGGGACGCCAGTTTTCCCCACCATTGCCCACTGAGATAGTGTTGGGGGGGGGTCCCATCCTGGTGTGTTCTAAGGGAGACAGGTGACAGTGAAAAAGGCATGGTGGGAATTTGCTCTGGAGGTGGGAGTGAGCCCCTAGCAGGGGCCTGTGTTAGGTGAGGAAAGCCAGCTCTAGGGTGTTGGGATAAGGATACCCCAGCAAAGGCAGGGTTAGGGTAAGTACCCCTATTTCTGGAGATGTGGGAAACAAAGGAGTAGGCTTGGTTTGGGGTGGGGGGATCAAACCCAAGCCTTGGCCTTCACACCAAGCCCCAGCCCTTTGTTTTTAGGAGATGGGGTCTAGTGATTCTCCTGACTCTGCCTCCCAGAGTACTGGGATTAAAGGCATATGCCACCACGCCCAGTGAGGAGTAAGCTTTTCATTTTTCTGTGGGCAGGGGAAGTTTGAGACCCCTCTTGGGCATCCAGAAGGATGAGGAGGAAGTGGACAAGAGAGTAACTGGAGCTGCAGGGACCAGGGATCCAGGTGCCATGCTCCCCACCCAGGCCACGGGTGGCAGGGCTCATGGCCTGGGAGGACAGCAGGTAGATACTTGATCAAGTGAGCAGCAGCAAGCAGCATGGGCTGTAGAAGGCACAGACCTTGCTCTGGCTTTGAAGGGGACAGTTGTAAAGAGAAAGGGAAGAGCAACCCAAGAAAGCTGAGCAGGAATGAATGGGAGGCGTCCCCTAGTGCCATAGTCCCATCTGCTTGTCCCGGAAGCTTTGCTCTGCTGGAAAAAGCCATCTGATGGGGACCTGGACAGATTCTACAGGAGCTTGAGCTAAGCCCCTTGGCCAGACGTGCTCTGGGCC